CACACACACACACACACAAACAAACACAGAGGTATCCATCACACCCACATGCGTGTTCACACACACAGGCATACATCACACTCACATATGTGCTCTCTCTCTCTCACACATACACACACACACACACACACACAGAGGCATATACCACACACATCCACGTGCACATACACACAGAGCGCATACATCACACCTACACACCCACATGCATGCATGTACCCACAAAGGGAACAAGAAAATAAATTTTCTTTTACTGGGTGCTGGGAGTGGTGGACACACTTGCAGTCCAGCACTCTAGAGGCTGAGGTGGGAAGACTGGGCTGAAAAAGATGACAGCCTTAGCTACAGAATGAGGTCCTACCTCAGGAAATCCAAACAAGAAGAGAGGAATGAGATAGGGGGAAGAAAGGGAAAGGAAAAAAATTACTTCAAAATTGTTGAGAGAAATTGATGATGGGAAGTGAATTGACAGACTCTAGGCTCACGATGGTGACATGTTAGCAACCCCGAGCCGGCCGCACAGGCCAGGCCTGCAGTGCCTACCAACGCCTGATCAAATCTCAGGTTCATGGACCCAAAATAGCCAAAATAAGCCTGAAAAAGTTGGAGAACTCAAACTTCCTGATTTCAACATCTGTCCTATGGCCAGGTACAGGAGCACACGCACATCTCAGCTGCTGTAGGGGTGGGAGGTGGGGGTGGGGATGACACAGCAGTCACTTGAGCCCAGACACACACACACACACACAGATAGATAGATAGATAGAGAGAGAGAGAGAGAGAGAGAGAGAGAGAGAGAGATATGTAACTAAAATACTTTAATGATTTGGCTTTTTTAAACTCATTATTCAAATTTATGTAACAGTGTGTGTGTGGTGATTTGGAGGAAAATGGCCCCTATAGGCTCATAGGGAATAAATATATATGTATATTTTGTCAAATTAATTTTTGAGTAATTTATTCATTTTAATGCCGTTAAGTTTGATTGCTTTCTTGAATGCATTTCCAAGTTGTCCATTACTAATGTATAGATATATACTTTCATGAAGCTGGAGAGATGGCTCAGCAGTTAAGAGCACTGGCTACTCCTGTAGAGAACTGGAGTTCAGTTCCCAGCACCCACTTTGGGCAGACAGCTCACAGCTGCCTGTATCTCAAGCTCCAGAAGATCTGACGCCCTCTTCTGGCCTCCTGGAGTGCTGCACTCAGATGTGCATACACATATACACATAATTAAAATTAATTTTTAAAAGTATAAAATTTATTTGTTGTAAATGTATGAACTTTTTGATGAGTTATGATATGTTTTGTGGGTTTCTAGAGCTGTCTTCATATAATACCATGTCTTTAGATGGAGACTGTACTTCATGTCTTCTGTTTTTCTCTTGCTGTGCATTTACCAGAGCCTCCAGTACAATGCAGTACCCAAATGGCTGTGTGTTGCCATTTTAAAAATATTTATTTGTATTAGTTTTAGTTGTGTGTATGTGTTTGTTGTGATTGGGGTGGTAGATGCACTTGTGTGCTGGTGCCAGCGAGGCCAAGGGTGTTGGGTCCTATGAAGCTGGAGTTCCGGGTGGCTGTGAGCCGCCTGATGTGGCTGCTGGGAACTGAACTCCAGTCATGAAGGTTTTTTTTCCTCTGTAGGACAGTGAGTAGTGTTGTTTCGATCCAGTATAAAAGCACGTGACTTAGTTTTTTTCCTACGTTGGCTGAAGAACTGTTTTCAGTTTCTGTCTGTCTTGCAGGTTTTCTCAAACAATGATGACGGCCTTATCAACAAAAAGCTACCCAAGGAGCTCCTCTTAAGGTAAGTGCATGCATGTTCGAGATCTCCAGTTTGGCTCAGGCCTCCAGTTGTGAGATGGCCTCTGTCTCAGTGTAGTCCTGAGCTAGAAAGGTTCAGACCTGCCCGACTTCCTGGTTTTGTTTTATAGAATGCCATTCAGTTTGTTCCTAAGGTTTACTTGGTCTCCTCCAGAATGTACTAAGTATTCATTTTGTAATGTGAAACACATTGCAGCCATTGTCAGCAGGTGCCCATGTTGGGTAGGAATAGATCATTATAAACCAGTTAGTAACTCGGGGAAAGGTTATTGCTATAGGTGTGGGCTCCTGGGGTCAGAGAGGTTTTGGTGTTTTCTAAGAAATGAGTAATTATCAGTTACAGAAGATGGGTGGTTCTGATGTCTTTACCCAGCAGCCAGTGCGCTGTCCCCCAGGTATTGAGAATGCATGCTAAGTGCCAGCACTCGAGAAGAGGCCTCCGTGGACTCCAGTGCTGTCACCTGTCATTGAGTCTGCAGGTGACACTGCTGGCCACTAGGCCATGCAGCCTTTTGTTTGTTTGTTGGCAGATGTTAGTTGTGGAGGCTGTCACCTCTTAATCCTTTACAAATATGGACTTCTGGACACGTGATAATCTTTGAGTGGCATTTGTCAAACTGTTGCCAGGATCCCACAAAACAAGAAGCAGGTTCCGATCCAAGGATGGACATTTCTTTGGTACAGGGTGTCTTAGAGCCTAGAAGGCTGGCATGCATGGTGATGGCCCGGGGTGAGGAACTAGTGACAGGAAGTTGTAGAAGATGCTTCCACCTAGAGGGGACACATGATCCCACTGCCTGGCTCTACTACATCTTTTTAGATTTCAGAAGTGAGTCTGGGTTTTGCTTCATTATTGGGGCTTATTCTTTATTTATAAGTTAATTCATTTGTTTGGGGTAAAGGCATGCACATGTGTGATACAGCGCACCTGTGGAGGTCAGAAAACTGTGTGTGGGCTGGCTCTCCCCGATCACGTGGTCCCAAGGATGGACTGAGCTGGCTGTCTCCCGATCACATGGTCCCAAGGCTGGCCTCAGGTCGTCAGCCTTGGTGGCAGGCGCCTTCACTCACTGAGCTGTCTTGTCGACCCGAGAGTAATTTTTTCTCTCCTTTGCAGTTCACAAGGAGCCAGTGTAAATTTTGCCAGGCCTCACTTCGGCTGTCATATGATGTTAAACTTTTTTCTCTGATTCTGTGAGGGTGAGAACTTATCTTCTTGGGTAGTGATCACATTTTAGAGGCCCCGGAGTGTTTAGTCTCCCGGGTTGTCTGCACTGACACAGGAATGCTTAGCACTTAGTTAATAAAAAACACTAACTGAGGCAGGGCTGGATGAGAAAGGTTGTTTATGTTTTACCCCAATAAAAGATATTTGGATAAGAGAATCATCTTTGGCAGTTCGACCTTTTTTAAACTCAAAAATGGTGACAAAGAAGGACTGGATGGCGCAAACTCACAGGGGCTCAGAAGACGGGGCCATTGGATCCAGGGTGGACTGTTGTCACCGTACAACTGCAGGGGACGTGGTCAGGCGGGACCTCGGCCTCAGGCTGCTGTGTGAGTGAGAGCCACAGCCAGCTGCGGAAGCCCGAGCATCAGTCATTCATCCCGAGGCTGCGATCAAACCCCGCCCTTCTCGTGAGTGCTGCTGCTGCTGCTGCTGCTGTGACTCACAGCACTGACTTCCTTCCTCCTAGTGCTGGGTTAGCGTTTATCCTCAGCACGGAGCGGTTCTGTTTGCTGATACAAGGGAATGAGAGTCAAAATAAGGGATCTGCCACTCTCTGTGGTCATGTGATTTTTTTTTAAAGATTTATTTATTTATTATGTATACAGTGTTCTGCCTGCATGTATGTCTGCAGGCCAGAAGAGGGTGCCAGATCTCATTACAGATGGTTGTGAACCACCATGTGGTTGCTGGGAATTGAACTCAGGACCTCTGGGAGAACAGCCAGTGCTCTTAACCTCTGAGTCATCTCTCCAGCCCCATCATGTGATTTCTGAACCCAGCTGAGAAGTTAGTTTTGGTTGATTTTTTTGGAGCCGCCAGCCAGCCTGTGGCACCTGCAGCTGACCTAACTATGGACCGAGTGTCACAGACGTTCTGGAATTGTTTGTTCACTGCAGCAACAGTCTTGATTGAGAGATGAGAAAAATGGTTGAAGAACGAGCCCCTGGAAGACAGTGGGGAGTAGGGAGCTCAGAGCAGAGACTGGCACTCGGGAGGAGCCTGAAGACAGGCTCCAGGCTCAGGCCCCAGTCAGAGAAGACCATAAGAACAGAGGATTCCTCTCCGTTTGGTCTCCAGGGTCTTTGCGTTTTGTTTTTAAAGATTTATTTTATTTTTTAATCATGTATGTTTGTGCCTATGTGGGTATGTGCATGTGGGTGCAGTGCCTCAAGTGTCCAGAAGAGGGCATTGGATCCACTGGAGCTGGAGTTGTGATCTGCCTGGTGCAGATGCTGAGAACTGAACTTGGTCCTCTGCAAGAGCAGTGTACCCTCTTAATTACTGAGCCAGCTCTCCACCCCTACCCCCTTAGAATCTTTTGAATGAAGAGTAACCCAGGAAGAATTGAGCCTTGGAAAATATGATAACCTGGATTCTGACCATTTCTTAAGCAAACATTTAGTACTCTCAACTCTGCTAATAACCCGACTCCTCTGTACTCCTCGCCTTTGTCTGCATCCACTTAACACTAGCTTGTCTCTGTCAGTAAAATAAATTAGGTCAGGCCTGGTGGCACACCCCTTTAAATCGCAGCATTTGGGAGGAAGAGGCAGATGGATCTCTGTGAGTTCTTAGCCAGGGTTACACAGTGAAATTTTGTTTAAAAAAAAAAAAGCAGTGGGAGTGGGGGGTGGGGGGTGGGGGGAGGTGTTTGTTCTTTAATGACCCAAAAGTGGACTCTGGAAATGTCAGTGGCTGGTGTGTGAAGGGTCTGCTGTGCAAGCATGGAGACCTGAGCTTGACTGTCTGCAGGCAGGGTGGTGTACACCTGTAACCCCAGTGCTGAGGAGCTGAGGCAGGAGGATCCTGGGGCTTCACTGGCTGGCCAGCCTAGCTGAAATGGTGAGCCTTAAGTTCAGTGAGAGACCCTGTCGCAATAAAATGAGGCTGAGAAGAGATTAAGGAAAGACATCTCATTGTCTACCTCTGACTCCTTGTGTGTGCTTATATGTGTGAACATGTACCCACATGTATGCACAAGCATGCACACAGAGGACAGCAATCCACAGTGTATCAGTTGTTGTGAACATGGAGGTTGTGGTCATTAGGTGTAGCTTTCGAGTCATGCACAAGGCTCATCTGTCAATCATTTTTTGAAATGAACTGCCACTTGAGAGCAGATGTCCACCACATTTTCTTGAGAGTTCAGGTTCCCACACTCCTGTTGTTATTTTGGAACCAGTCAGAGCAAGTGAAATTTTATTTTATTTTTAATTAATGAATGAATCAATTATTTTGAGGCAGGGCTTCTCTGTGTAGCCCTGACTGTCCTAGCACTTACTCTGTAGACCAGGTTGACCTAGAACTCGGAGATTTACCTGCCTCTGCCTCCCAAGTGCTGAGATGAAAGGCGTGGGCCACCACCGCTTGGCAGCGATTTAAATTTTAAATACTGCCGTGAGAAGTCTTACGTGTCAAAACTACCTCTAGACAACAGTGGAGGTTTACAGTTTTGCTGTGTGTTAAACTCTTTCTGCCCCAGACTTTGCCTTCTTGGCAAGCAGCTTTCCCTCAGGCTCCCCTTTGTCAGCAGAACTCTGCAGGACCAGGTTGCTCAGGTGAGC